ACTCTTCTCGAATCCCCCAGATCCTTCAATGTCTGGCCCAGGCCAGTGCAGGGGGTGGCAGGCAGCCCTGGCCCACCTGGGAATGAGGAGGGGCTCTTACTTGGACAGAGCCAGGCCGTGCTTGTCCAGCTGTGGGTGCAGGTCTGTCAGGAGGATGCCAGCCTCCACGGTTACCTGCTTCTTCTCCTTGTCCACCTGCAAGAGACCAGCAGAGCTGGGAGGCACCAGGCCCCTACCCAGCCTCACCTCAGCAGCCAGGCTCCTTGGGAACATGAATGTCTGTCCCAGCTGGTGATCAGCCTGAGCCAGCTCCTGCTGCAGGCAGCCTAAAGGGGCATGGGGCCTGAGGGTGCTGGAGCTTGGGTGGAGGAGAAGAGGCACACCCGGGGTGGCGAGTATTTTGCCCAGGCTCACACCGCAGAGCCAGAACGAGGATCCTGCCCACCTGCACAGACTGGGACAGTGGGACTTGTTTGTGTTCCTGTGCAAAGTAAACAACTAAAGAGGTCCTGCTCCCCTAGGTCCTGACTTTCCTAAATGGAGTTCAGATTCTCCATTTATCTCACCCTGGGAAGACCTAGGCAAAGGCTGAGACTGGAAGGGCAGAGACTTAGCATCTGTTTGATGCCCAACCAAGCAACAAAGGTGCTGTCGTGAGATCCCCACAGTGGCCCTGAGCAGTAGGAGAGTCTCCGCATTTTACAGGTGTGAGACTGAGATTCATGGATTTGAAGTCACTTGCCCAAGGTCACACAAACCCTGGTGGCGGAACCGAGATGAGAGTCCACATCTGTTGGACTCCAAAGCTCATGCTCCTTCCATTGACCCAGAGCACAGAGCTCAGTAAAAATAAATTGCTAGAGCTCAGTCCTCACTAATTAGCAATCAGAGTTAATTACTGCCATGGCTGATATCTTAGCCCAGATGTTTTCTAAGAGTTAGAGACTGTCAGCCTGAGCAAATGGGGAAACAGTAAGAGAAACTCAGATCCTTCTAGGGGGCTTGGAGAGGGGATTATTTGCCAAAAATTATAGGTTAGGGGTGCTGACCGAAGCAGGTGAGAAAAGAAGTTCTAACAAGGGGCAGGAGCCTGAGTTGCTGGCAGGTGCCAAGTACAGGCTCTGAACTGCATGGACAGCATCCCAGCTCAGAGCTTGTGTCAGTCTTGGGTCTGTGCCCAGCTTTGCTGCTGTTTGGCTGGCACGTCACTGACCCTCTCTGATCTTTAATTTCTCCACTTCGAAAGCTAGGTAAGTGCCACTTCAGGTCTCTCTGAATTTGTCGTTGCAAGTCTGCCTTTTGGGAATCTGATTCCCTGCTCCAGTTCTAGCAAAGTGGAGAGGAGGCTCTGGCAGGGGAGGGGAGTAGACATCTTCTCCATGGCCGAAGGGACTAGGACGACCTGACCTGAGGCGTCCTCAAATCCAGGGAGGGTTCAAGTGAGGAGTGTGTGAGAAAAGGCCAGGGATCAGGGTGTTACTCTGGGGGCTCAGGGGTGGCAAGGTGTTGAAAACTGGGGGGGAAAGGCTGAGGAGCATGTGCCCTGGGGTCTGGGTGAAGGCTGAGGCTGTCAAGCTTGGGGCCAGCAGAGGGGGAGCCCAGGGCCCCCATACCTGGAGAACCCGGTTCATTTTGCCCATGTGGATCATGAAGCCATCAGTGCAGGCAATGTCCGAGGGTGAGTGGCCACCACCCACCACTTTCACCTTCTTGTTCTGCTGCCTGGCCAGGGCCAGTACCTGCAGGGACAATACAAGAGTCAGAGAGGCAGCGGGAGAACCTGCAGGATCCTGGCCTAACCTGCAGGGGGCGCAGGCAGCCGGGAGATGCACCAGGCCTGAGGGACTTCGCCTGACTCCAGACTGCTGTGCAGGTCACACAAGAAAGAGAGTATGGGCCTGGAAGCGGTCCTGGATAGACATCCAAGGGACCGTCCCAATCTGCCACTCCGACATTCTCTCTGCTGCAGCTCAGGGCTCTCTAGAGGCAAACCCCATCATATCCTTACCAACACAAAACCTTCCAAGGGCGCCCCAGGGTCCTAAGGATAAGACACAAGCTCCTTAGCTTGACTACAAGGACCTATGGTCTGCCTCCATGCTCCAATTAGCGCTCCTCAGGGACAATATCAGTGACTGCATTTGACTTTGAACCTGCAGAGCCTACTCCAGGCCTGGCAAAAATAGGTGGCATCTAAAGATTGTTGAGTGAAGAAATAAATGGATGAATGATGTCATTTAAATGAGTCTGTTCACTGTCTTCTCCCTGCTCCAACAGCCTCCTATCTGTGCTACAGAACACTGGCCTTATGATTTATTCCACAAAGCGCTCACAGTCTTCTGAGATCAGGAAGCACAGGCTATGCTGTGCAGGGGCTGGTCTTCGCCAGCTCCTCCCCCTCCCCCCTGCTGTGCGGCATGTTGATGGCCACCGTGCTCTACAATAAAGACACCTGTTTAACTGTGTCACACCATTTTCCGGCAGGGATACCTCCTGCTTTTTGTGATTCACAGGGCAGGAGTCTGCTTAGGAACCACCATACATCCCCAGCTCCCTCTCTCTCCCTCAAATAGAGTCTTTTGCCCCTCTGATCAGTCCAAAGCCACTCTGCCTTGCCAGCATCCCTGTCCCCACCTGCAGCCACCACCCAGGACTCTATACAGATGCTCTTCCCTTCATACACTCAGTGCTCTTCCCTACTACCTGCTGATTCTTCTCAGAAATCCATGCAAGTGTGAGTGTGGATGAGACAGTGTGCATACATGTCTGTGCACCTGTGTGTGTGCATGTGTGCAGATCACAGAAGAGCACTGAGCAGCGAGTGCAGATCTGAGGTCCTTGGGACATGGCTATGCAGATTAGAGGTGGGCAGGGGCCACTGGCCAGCAGTTCTGGGTTGGGGCTGGGGTGGCATCTTAGCGAGTCCCATTTCTAGCCTCCTCTCCATTGCCAGGGCAGCAGAGCAGAGATGGATACTCACCTCTCTAACCTCTTCCACAGATGTGGGCTGATAGTACATCTCTGGGCAACAGCCATAGGTCCTTGCCCAGTTTTGGAACCGGACCCCTTTATGCCCATGAACCTGTACAAGGAAAAATGTTGTGCGTGTCTCACCAAGTAAACAGGCTTTTGAAATTCAAGCCTGATTGTGTCTCCCTTACTCCCCACCATTGTGGAGAGGGAAGCCGAGTCGCAGTGGTGGGCCCAGGCTCCTCTCTGCCCTAATCAGCTCTCAGGTCAGGGGCTGACCTAAGATCAAACATGCACTGGGAAGATCAAACATGCACTGGAAACTCTAAAATTGTGGGTCTCCATGCAGGGCCCCCTGATATTGTCTCCTTGATATCTTCTGATCTGATGGACAGCTGCATGGAAAATTCTGCCCATTCTTAGGTTTAGGGGGCTAAATGAGTTCAAGGGCAGAGCCCGAGAAGGCAGGACCCAAGGTGGTCCCTGCTCTGGGCACTTTTCTGAGGGATCCAGCAGTGCTGCAGTTGAGCAAGGCCCAGAGAAGGGACTGCAGGAGCCCTGGTGGCCAAGAGGAATGGCAGCTCCTGGCTCTCAGCTTCCCCACCAGGCTTCTCCAGCAGGGAAGGGGCACATCTGGGAGGCTCGATGGCAGAGTCTTTCTGGCCCCTAACCCACAGCACCAAGTCCTGGAGAAAAGACTCTCTTTGTTGGACACCACTGTTATAGGGCAGTGTGCTGGGATTCTTATATCTTATTTAGATATTTTTTTTTTTTTTGCGGGGGGGGGGGTACTGTGGATTGAACTCAGGGACACTTGACCACTGAGTCACATCCCCAGCCCTATTTTTTGTATTGTATTTAGAGACAGGGCCCCACTGAGTTGCGTAGAGCCACACCGTTGCTGAGGCTGGCTTTCAGCTGTCAATCCTTCTGCCCCAGCCTCCTGAGCTGCTGGGATTACAGGTGTGCACCACAGCTCCTGACTTATTTAGATCTTACATTAGTGACATGGACTAGGTGATCTTACTCCTGTTTTCAGCAGCCAAAATTGAGGCCCTGGAGGTGAGGTGACTTTCCCAGCAACCTAGTGAAGGTGCTGAGTCCAGCCCAGCCTTCCTCCCCTGCACCTCTCCCTGCACCCCAACGCCTCCCCCAGAGCCTCAAGTTTATGTCAGGAGGGTCCATAGGGCCTCCCCTGGCCCCAAATGTGGCATAATTTTGCCCTCCCACACTTGGGTCATAGTTCTAGTCTGGACACAGCACAGATGGGCTGACTGTCCACACCATGAGCACCTACCATGGCTGCGGTGGTCAGGGGCCTCAGCTGTCTCCGACCTTCTCCAGGAACAAAGCCCTGGGCAGGAGGTGCAGCAGCCTTGGTGCTGGGGCAGCTCAGGCTGGGTCCCTGCTGCTGCACACCAAGGGGCTTTGGTGAAGGCAGGGAGTGTGTGGGACGGGCTCCACCCCCAGCAGGAGTTAGGTCACCAGTACAAACAGCAGCTGGGCCCTGCCCCCTCCTGGGAGCCCCTCTCAGGCAGAAAGGAGGCAGGGCAGGGTTTAGGTAGAGGCTCTGGAAGCAGGCCAAGCTCCGACCCCAACACTAACACTAGGGATTCTGAATCCAGTCTCAAAACTGGGTCATTGGGTTGGGGGTGTAGCTCAGAACACTTACCTAGCTGCCCTGGGTTTGATCCAGCACTGAAAAACAAACAAACAAATCCCCCCCAAAACTGGGCCCTTTACACCACAGATCAGGGAGGCCGTGATGTGGGGGGCTTGTGGGGGCTTTATGGGGGGCTGCCTTGGTGCCCTGGCCTGGAGGAGGGCCCATGGGCTCAGGCAGTGGTGGGTGAGTTCATTCCTCAGACCTGGGGGATGAGTAAACCTGGATGCTGGTCATCCACAGCTATTAAGGAGACAGAAGAAGATCCTGGGGCTGTCAGAGGCACACCTGTGTCCCCAAGCCAATGTTTCCTTTGAGTTGCGTGCATGTTTGCATGTTCGTGTGCAAACAAAGCATGTGTGAACTGTGCGGTGAGGTGGGAGTGGAGCTGCGTGCTCCCACGGGTGACCTACGGGGAGAAGTGTTGTTCATGAGCTTTTAGAGCAGTTTGGTCACAGAAAGGGGGCCCAGGGACAGGTGAGGAGCTGTGGAGGCAATGCAGAGGGAAGAGCCGGAACCAAAATTCATGTGTTTGGAAGCCCAACCCCCCAAGACCTCAGGATGCAACTGTATTTGGACATGGCACCTTTCAAGAGGTGATAAGGTAAGGAAATTCATTAGGATGATCCTAACCAGGTAGAACTGGTGTCCTCCTAAGGAGAGATTGGCACACAGACACACCTAGGGAAGGCTGCCACCTGAAGCCCAGGAGAGAGGCTCAGGAGGAGCCAGCCCTGCCGACACCGGACCTCAAACCTTCAGGCTCCAGGACGGAGGGGGTGTGCCCCTTCAAGTCACCCGCCCTGCAGGACTTTGCTATGGCGGCCCTCGCAGGCTACAGCACCGTGTCTGCCAGTCCAGGACTCCCAACTCCATTGCTGGAGGGGAGAGAGCCCCAGAGGACACCAGACTCCCTGCTGGGAAAGGCAGGTCTTGGGGACAGGGAGTGGGGCTCTGGGGCTGGGGAGTGGGGAAAGCACCTAACAGACTGGCCACTGTCCCTTCACCTTCACTGTCCTAAACCCCTGGCAGGGCCCAGAGGCTGTGACTCACACATGACAGAGCTTTGGGAACCTCGGGCATGGACCATACCTGGGCGGTTCCATAGCCTGGGCAGGCACACAGGCCCCCCTACCTCCTGCTGAGGTTGCCAGAGCCAAGAGGGTTTATGACTATTGTTCTAGAATGGAAGGCTTCCACCTCACCCTGGGCCAAGCACATCAATTATATAAATTGCCTTTATTGGGAAAAAAAAATCATATGAGAAGAAATGAAAATCAGCAAAAATGGTGGGTATCCGTTAATTCAATTTGCATTGTCATCACCCATGATTGAGGTCGAGGATTTGTTTATTTCTTCTGGTCTGAAGGACTCAGCCTGTTCAATATTGCTGAGTCTTAATTATTTCAGAGTCATTGACAAGGAAATTGATGTTGCCATTTCCGTGGTCGCAGAAGAGCAATTTTAAAAATTTCTTTTCTCTACCAGACTTGTTAGTCAATGAGAATGATGACTTGACACTCCACTTGTGCCCCATAACTCAGCACGTTTCTTTTGGGACCCCGTGATCTTGCTGTGAACATTTTGTAGACCATTTAACGATTTCTCCTATGTAGCTATCACTTTCTCATCTCCTGCCGTCAGCTCATTCTCTAAAATACGATGAAGGGCTTCAGGTCATTCAGCGTTCATGACAAGCAGGATGAAGTGCCCTGTGGTTACCATCTGGGGGTGTTGGGTTCCTTGTCTCCACTCAGCGAAGAATTGAACAGGGTGCAGAGATCGCAAGCAGCAGGCTGTTTGCAAGAGTGACAGAGACAGTCTTCTCTGAAGGAGCTGGGAGCTGGGTGGGGGAGTTTTGGCCTGTTTTTTTTTTTTTTTATGGTCCTTGGAATTTCCTCCTCCCCTTGTCTCCTCCTCTGTCCATGAGCTCTCACTATTATTCATTGGCACCCCTGTGTCCATGCATATATTTTAGTTTTTCTATTTAATCTCTGCTTAGGGGCAAGTTTTTGGAAGTGTCTGTTTGATTGGGTCCCCTGCTTGTGTTCATGAGCACTTTTGTCAGCTGGGAAGTTGACCTCTTTGGAAGACCCTCTTCATGCTCCTTTGGTCTGGCTGTGCCCCTGACCTCCTCCCTTGCCACCTTGCCCTGGCTGCCTAGGTCCAGCTCTCTACGACCACATCCCGTGCCATTCAGAGTTGGCTTCTGCCCACCTCCAGGACAGTTGGTGGAGATGATGAACAGACATACACACCCCCAAAGTGTTCAACAATAATGTTTGGGCTTTTTTCTCAGAAGTTCTTTCTTCAGGTTGCAAATGAAGAATCGCTTCTGTCCTTGAAATTTGGACACAAGCTCCGAGAGTCACAGCCTCTGCAGCGTGGATGTGTCTGTCTTTCCATTTAGGCATTAACATGGTGAAAAGTGGTGGGAGATGGACTCCTTCAGAACAAGAAGTTAGGTCCTCACCTAGGAACTTTGTTGAGTGTTTGATTAGAAGGTGGGTTTGTAACTGTGGGGGCTCAGAACACAATACACCAAAATACGGCACCTTGGTGGGCTGAGACTTTGAATTCAGGGTTGTTGGAAGGATCAGAAGCAAGATCTCTCCTTGCCCTTCTCCTGCCCTCTGTGTCCAGCCCTCTGTGTCCAGCCCTTTCTTCCCCAACTGTGGAAACCAGAATTCCTTTCCCCAAGCCAGTCACAGAAGCTAGAACCCTTCTCCATTTCCAAAGGGCTTCTGTGTCACATAGAACTCCCTAAATCTGTTATTCTTTTCTCTTCTTAACCTGTCCTACAGGGTTTTGTCCAATGCTGATGGTGGGTGAGAAAAAGAATCATCAACCGTGGTCCTGGGGTAGAGCAGGGCCTGGACCCATGTTCCCAGAGAGGAGGACCCCAAAGTCACGTCTTGCTCTGCTCCTGTGACTGTGACATATATCTGAGGTAGTCAAAACTAGAAAGGGGAGGGGTTTGTTTGGGCTCCCAGTTTTGGAGGTTCCAGTGCCTGACCAATTGGTCCCATTGCTTTGGGGACTAGGGTGAGGCAGCACATCTTGGGGAAATGAACCAGTCACTTTAAGGCAGGAAACTAAAGAGAGGCAGAGGAAGGGGCTGGGGCCCCACTCTCCCTTTGGGGAGCTCACCTCCAACGACCAGAGCAACTCCCGCTGGGCCCCACTCTTAAATCCCCCCCCCCCAACAGTGCTGACCACCAAGCCCTTAATGCGTGGGACCTGGGGGGACATTTAAGTACAAACTATGGCAAATGCCTACAAAGTGGTCCAGTGACCCTTATCCTCGCACACTCTGAGGGGTCACCTTGTTTTGTTCTGTACTGGCTGCCCTCCAGAGCTGCGGATCTGTGCCTTGGGAGCAGGGCAGGAGAGCGGCCATTCATCACGAGGCAGCTCTGCTCTGCCCTTGGAGATTTCTGATGAAGCCCCGTGGGCCCCTTAATTACGCCGCCGCCCATTTGTGAGATTCAATTACGGTGGAGATCAGTCGCGGCCTTCTGCAGCGTGCTGAATGCCAGGGAGACGGGCAGCTGACCAGGACTGGTTCGAGGTGATCGATGCAGCCCTGGCCAGCCTGTGTCACCCTCGGCCACGACTCTTATTTATTGAGGGCCGTCCCCATCCCAGAGCAGCTGCTCTTCCTGAGCTGGGGGACGCATTTCAGTGCTTGGAGGGACCCACAGGGCATGGGCAGGGCTTTGTCCTCACAGGGGCCTGGGTAGCTCCAAAGGGCCAGGAAGGAATCAAAGAGCTCAGAGGCAAATAAACCTGTGCTCGTCAAAGTCCACCAGGCCGACAGGGAGAGTGGGGTAGAGGTGAAGGCCGGAAAGAGGAGCAGATAAGAGCGTTTGTTCTCTGGCTGCCGCCCAGCTGATACTGACACTCATTTACAAAAGCCAAGGCTGATGTTTAAGTCCCACAGACCAATGACAATTGTCTTGTCTGCCCAATTGGACAGGGGCTCCTCCTCCTGTGCTCCTGAGACTGGAGTTAAGGGATGGACTTTAGTCTTCCACACATGTAGTTTCAAGCCCCAGTACTGGCTCTGATGAGCTGGGAAGCTCCTCCCCAGAGCCTCGGTTTCCTCATCTGTAAGATGGGGGTCTTTAATTTTTTTTCTCTTGTGGTTGTAGATAGACAGAATGCCTTTATTTTACTTGTTTATTTTTGGTGGTGCTGAAAATTGAACCCCAAGCCTCATGCATGCTAGGCAAGTGCCCTGTCACTGAGCTACAGCCCCGAAGATGGGGGTCTTGTAAGAAGTAAATGAGATAGTGTGGTTTCTTACTACGCCTGACACACAGGAGACAGGCCAGTACGTGGTAATTACCATTATCATCCTTATCTCGGATTGTACTGTGATGGTCTGGTCCCCTCGCCATCCTGAGATGTTCTCAAGGACTCACGCTGCACCACATTCATATTTTTATCCTGACTGCCAAAGCAAGGCAAGACTAGGGACCTGACAAAGGTGGATGGGAAGGAAAGAAAGAGGAAGGAATGGGAGACAAGGCTATGCCTTCCGAATGGCCACGTGGCCTGGGCTCTCACCTCTCTCTCCACCACTGAGCGCTCATATTCACTGGGTGTGCCACCTCCGGGAGCCGAGCAGCCCTCAGCACAGGGCCAAATGAACACACCTGCAAGAGCTGGGGTGGCCGCTAGAAGATAGCTCTAGGTTCTCAAATAAGCTGCTCAGACCAAGCTGCTCGGACCGCTGGAGCCTTGTGCTCTGTGAGGTGCTCACGACAAGACCTCTGAGGAGCCATGTGAGGGATGGCTTGAAGAAGACCGCCTGAGAGCTAGGGTGCTGGGTGGCCTCCCAACCACCTCTTCTCCTTCCTGGAACCCGGGCACCATACCATGGAGCTACATTCCCAGCCCCCTTTACATATATGTATTTATTTATTTCGAGACAGAACTCCCTAAGTTTCCCAGGCTGGTCTTCGAATCATGGCCTCCCAAGTCACTGGGATTACAGGTGTGCACCATCATGCCCACTTGCCCCTTCTTTAAATCTGAAATCATAGAAACTCAAAGAAAAAACTTCTAGTTCTCATGTCCTTTGGTTTCAGTGGCTTCCGGACCAGGGATCTCCAGCTTCACCCCAACCGTCAGATAAACACATCCATGTAGTTCCTTGTCTCAGTCAATGTGAGGATTAAAACTGACTTTAAAAAACAATAAGGGTAAATACAATTTTTAATGAAATATGGTTTTTAACTTCTTCACACCCCATTGTAGTGGGTTGAATGAATATGTGCCCTTCCAAGAGATATGTCCGAGTCTTCACCTCCAGTTTCTGGGAATGTGACCTATTTGGAAATAAGATCTTGCAGATGTAATTAAGGGTCTTTATATGAGATCATCCTTGACTTAGGGTGGACCCCAAATACAATGATTGATGTTCTTTTCAGAGAAAAGAGGAGATTTGGTGCAGGCAGACAGAGATGGTCACGTGAGGACAGACTCAGAGACAGGAGTGAGGCGGCTTCACACCCAGGAATGCCCAGGATTGCGGGCTGGGAGAGGCGTGGGACACTCTTTCCCTTAGAGCCCCGCAGCGCAGGACTGCCCCCCATCTGGATCCTCACAGGGATGTCCTCCCTCTTCTCCATCCCAGCACCGTTGGACGTTTTATGTCTCCTCTTTTTCTTTCCAAGATGTGGCACAAGCCTGCCTGACTGGAGGCACTTAATTGCATGTATTGTCTTTTGTTAAGACAATGGAGACAGCTGTTTAAATCCAGCCGTACCCTCCCACAAAGCATGAGTCTGTCCAGCCCAGTCCCCGCTTCACAATGAATCCTGGAGGAAGATGGGAGGCTTCTGCTCACAGTGGCAGTGGGGCCAGCGACCCTGCCTCCTGTTCTCTCTCCACCTGGACAATTATGCAAATTCCTCTGCAATTCCGGGGTAGAGTTCTCTGAAACAGGCCAGAAGACACAATTGGGGCTGGTTGCTTCTGAGGTCAAAGATGCCAGTGGACAGAGGCATCTAAAATCTGGATGAAAAAAAAAATCAAACTGTTTTCTTGACTCGATTTTTCTGCCACTCAGATAAGAGAAAGCTAGAGAGTCAAGACTCTCAGACTTTCAGAAAGGCTCTGAAAGGACCCGGAGCACTCTGGTGCCACCTGCTACCTTCTGAGGGTGCTAGGTCTTGCTCTTCAGGGCTGCACTGAAGTGGGCAGGCCATTTAAGAGATGAAGGCTCTCAAGTTCAAGGTCGGGTGGGTTATAAATGGCGAGGCTGGATGTGAGACTGCCAGATTCCAAACCCTGCAGCTTTTGGTTCTTTTCACTACAACACAACACTACCAATTTAGGAAAAGGGTTTCTTACACGAAGGTGCAAAAAAAAAAATTATGATAGTTAAAGTCTAGTGAGGGGAGGAGGCAATACACAGTGGCACTTTCTTTTTAAATGTGTTCTTCAGCTGTGAAACACAACCAAAAGGGTTCAACAGAAGGTTGGCTGAATAAATTGTGGTCCATCTCTATTATGAAAAAGTGGGAAGCCATTAAAAAGAAAAAGCTAAATCTAGGTGTCCTGATAGGAGGATCTGCCCAAAATGTATCCCATGGAAAAGCAGCATGATTTCACTTATATCAGAAATAAACACATTGGCTAAGGGTTCAAAAAGATCTGCGACTGGTTTTCAACCTGGATTTTACCTCAGCCTCGCTCTGTTAGTGCCTAGCAGATACCAGTGCGAGGTAGGAGTGGTGGGCGCACCCCAGGCAGAGGGAACCTTCCTTTGGAGGATGAGTTTGGAACAGCCTCAGGTCTCCTAGGGAAAAGCAGGAGGTACCCACAGACAGCTCTCGTCCAGGGGGACCTGGCTGGGAGGAGGGAGACAGGAAGGAGGGGGTCTCAGCATGCACCCCCGAATCAGAGCTGCTCTACATATTACCAGTTTTTCTTGGTGACCGGATTGCTTGCGATTGCAGCTATCACCTATTTGAAAACCATCCAAGGAGAGTGATCTTTTTGCAGAAGAGGAAATGGAGGGCCAGAGATAAGAAGTGATCTAGGTGTGGTGGCACATGCCTATGTTGGGGAGGCTGAAGCAAGAGGATCACAAGTTCAAGGCTAGTGTGGGCAACTTAGTGAGACCACGTCTCCAAGTAAAATAAAAAGGGCTGAGGGTGTAGCTTGCCTGGCATGTGTGAGGTCCTGGGTTCGGTCCCCTGTATCCCCTGCCCCATACAAACAACAGCGACTTTACCTGTTGGTTCTTTAGGGAGTAGGTGTCAGTCACATGGGCAGCACACCCTGTCAATATGCCCTCAGCCCAGCTCTGTGCCTAGCATAAGTGGCCCCAGCTCCTGGATGTATAGCAATCTGGGTGCCTTTCTGTGGCTAGGTCATTTGAATATCTAACATTTCCCTGCCAAGGGGCTTTGTGCTAGGAACAAAACTGTCCCCCAAACTCTTGCTGCAGATATAACCCAGCTGCTGCAGTAGAACACTAGAGGAACTGATCTTTCTACCAAGTCTATAATGACCTTTGAAACAAACCCTTGGTCCTTCCTAGGGCTGTAATGGGTAAGCATCTCTCCCCAAGGTCATTTTTTCAAGTGGACTTGAGCTTATCCTGCTGTCGTCCCCACAATGCCCAGAATAAAGTCCATGCTCCCTCAAATCATGGCTTGGTGGGAGGCAGGTGGGCTTTGGAGTCAAAGAAGCCCATGTTGACGTCCTGCCTCGATCGTGTGGTTTGGTCTTGGTCACATACCACTGAGAGCCTTTTCACTTAGCTGAAGAGAAAATCCTAGAGGGGTGTTGTGAAGAAGATGAGAACTATTGGCATAAAGCATCCCCCACCCCCCAAATAAAAAATTGCAACCCAAGTGTTCATCAGTGGATGGATGGAAAACAAAATCTGCTCTACACAAAGAAAGGAGCATTGCTCAGTTGTCACGTTCCACGTTCCAGATGACCTTGGAGACATTCTGTGACACTCTATGATTCAGTTTATGTGAGGTACCTAGAACAGCCAAATTCATAAAGACAGAATGTGGACTGGTGGTTATGAAAAGCAGGGGCAGGGAGGACAGGAAGGTAGTGTTTCATGGGTGCACTTTGGGAACACGAAAGCATTCTTCGGCCAGGTGATGGTTGCACAATAATGCACTCAGAGCTACAGAACCGCTCACTTAAAAATGGTTAATATGGTGCTGTGGTTTGGGTATGTTTTGTCCCTCAAAGATGCACGTTCTTGAAGCTCCATTTTGACCCGTGGGGGACCTTTCAGAGGTGGGGGACTAGTGGGAAGTGATTGTGAAGCTGATTGAAGTTGGGGGCCCTTGTAAAATCCTGAGCAGTTTCCTCAAGCTGACAGTAAAGGCTGAGGCCTGCCCCTCTCCCCCCAAGGACACTGAAAAAGGACATGTTCCCTCCCCCCCCCCACCCACCTCTGGCCCAAACCAGCTGACTGCAAGTGTCTATTTCCAGTCTTTTGTCTCAATCTGCCACCTGCCTCTTCCCTTTTAAAGCTTTTCTTGTCCTCAGAGCCTCTGAGGATGGAATTTTTAAAACAAAAAGTCTTTCTCTTCCTTCCAAGCTGGCTTTGAAGAAAACCTTTTTTTCCTACCAATTTGACCCAGAATGTCTGTGGAGTAGCCAGCAGGGCCCCAGCCTCTCCACACCCCTCCCTGAGGGGCACCAGTGCTGGGTGTCTGCCCTTGTGAGAGGATCAACCCTGGCCTCCCACAGGATGGATCAGATCCCGTGAGGGCAGGAGGCTGGGAAAAGAGCCCGGCTCCTCCACTCTTTGCTGCCCTTCCACGCTGTGCACAGGGGACCCACAGTGGTGGGAATAGGAGGTTGAGGGTAATTCTATGAAATGGGCCTACTGTGTCGACCCCCAGATGCTTTCATTTTAAAAAGCAACTTACTTGCATCCCTGCCTGGCTTATGTGGAAAGGATAGATTACATTCCTCAGCTAACTGTTAGCTGCTAGTCAGCAGTCAGGGGTGGACCTGGGCAGAACTCTCCGGAAACATCCCTGGGACCGCAATGAGACTGAAGGCAGGAGGCACACCACCCTTCTCCTCTCTGAGAAGACCCACTCTCCCCCCTGAGAGAGTCCCTTTCCCTTTCCCTATCCCTTCTAACTCCTGCCTGTTACTTTGAGTGACCTGTCTGGAATCTTTCTGACCTGATTGCAAGAATTGGGGTTTGCAGGGGGGCAGTCTTCATGCTGCCTCAGTTTCCCAGGAAGCCCCTGTAACACCATGACACCTCCACCCTTCTGTCTTCCTCATCCACCACGTCATGGTGCGGCACAAACCCAGCACCAGATGTGACGACCTGACGAGCCTCCGGAGGTGGGAGCTAAACAAACCTCTTTTTGTTATAAAGTATGCAGTTTCAGGAATACTTTAATAGTTACATCAAACAAACTAAGACAGATGATAAATTTTATGTTATGTACATTTTACCATAATTTTAAACATTTGTAAATGAGTTAAATATTGTTGATAAATATTCTAAATGTGGTTGGGGGACACTTAGGGAGCCCTGGGACACTTTCAGGGGATCTAGAACAAATCCATTTTTCGCATTTATGTTTTCCACTCTCATACAGGTACAGGGGAGTTTTCCAAAGTCTACATAACCCAGGATAGCACAATAGCTTGAACACAGAAGCAGATTTCAGAACGCAGCATCTTTATTATTAGATAGGTGTGAAAGGGGCTTGCAAAATGTAAAATAAAGACACTCTTCCAATTTTTTTTAAAAGAAAAGCATATTTTTAAAAAAGTATGTTATTTATGTTAACATGGGCACATTATTATTGCTTTTAAATGAGTTAATAAATATATTTAACAATTTCAGTCTCTAGTAAACATCGACAGACATACAACATATTAATTTGAGTTCTCTGAGGACCTCAATAAATTTTTAAGAGTGTCAAGAATACCTGGGGCCACAAAGCTTGAGAATCGCTTCAATAAAGAAAACGTGTCAACTCAGGAGACAGTCAATGCCTTTAAATGTTCAGGCATCAATGTAAAGATACAAGAATTAAGAAAATATTACAACAAATGAAGCCAACAAAGTTCCATTTGTGGACCAAGAAGAAACAAGATCTATGAAATGACTAATGAAGAATTCAGAATAATACTTTAAGACAAGTTCCTGGTATTATAGGAAAATATGTAGG